AAAAGTGGGATTTTTGGAGATCCTGGATTTCTGAGAAAATTTTTTCTAAGAGATTAAAGTTAAGTTGAAATTTTTTGAATAATATATATACACACATCGAAGTCAGTGATGTACGAATCTATCCTTCGATTTATTGTAGTTACTAGGGTTCACGAGAAAGAACAAAAACAAGTTTGTCTCTAAACTTTTTGCCTCCACTTTATGTGTAAAAAAAATTAAAGAAAATTTGTAACGGTGGTGTAGAACTTTAAGCAGAAATGAATGATCATCAATGTATCCATGATATTAACTTATTAATTTGTTTTCTAGTTTTAGATTTGTTGCTTGGAAATCATGGTCCGTTTTGCACAAAAATTTGCCCTGTTCATTGCCATAACTGGTAGTCTCTTTGGCTATTTGTATCATATACCACATAGTGAAGGAATCGACGAATTGGGTAAAGTTCGTTTTATGAGTGCGCCGATGAAAATAATTGATCTTGTTGTAAGTAAGACAATAATGATGAAAACAAAAATTCTAATTTTAACTGTCATTTCTTTTAGGGGACAGTGAGTGAAGCGTTCGGTATAACGACAAAGGTTAATATATTAAAAAGTTGTACTAAGATATTGAAACGAGCAACAAGGAGAAATATGAATGCACAGGTAGAAAAATAACAGTGAAGACAAAGCAAATGTATATGATCTCATCGTTTATAATCTTTTAGACGGAAGATACGGAAATTAATAATGTACCAGTGAGAATTTATCGTTCAAAACAAATAGATGACAAAGAAAAATCATTACATCCGGCGATTATCTATTATCACGGCGGTGGATTCTACATGGGATCACTGGGTAAGTTCGTCATTCAAACTGATTTTCTACAAGTGTCGGTATACTAATCGACTATAAATCGCTATAAATGACTGTATTTAGAAACTCACAATGATATTACAAAGACGCTAGCTAAATTGACAGGCTTTATTGTTATATCTGTTGAGTATGTTCGACAATTTTTCATCTATTGTAGAGCTGTATGGATTCTTGTTTCGTTTAGTTATCGTCTTGCACCAGAACATCCGTTTCCTACGGGTCTAGATGATTGTTATCAGGTAACAAAGTATTTGTTTGATCATGGAAAGAAATTTCAAATAGATCACGAACGAATTGTACTTGCTGGCGACTCAGCTGGTAAGTAACGTGACACTGGTGCTCTTTGTATCGGTACAGTCTGTGGCTCTAATTGATACGATAAATTGGATGTTCATCTACCATTTTAATCGTTCGTCTATTCCCGATAAGAAACTGATGTATGGGACATTTTAAGGTCGGTTCTCTGTAATAATGAGAATAAAAGGAAGGGAATGATGTAAACATAAGATCATTTTTTGATTAATCATATCTTCTTAACGAAGTAAAATTAACCCTTTCTTGTCCTATCGCACCTGTATATTATAAAAATTTAGTTCACTTGAACTATTAGACATTTAGAAACAGATTTTATATAATTTGTTTGGAAAAAGTTCTTTTTTCAGGTCAAAACAGGCCAAAAACTGAAAAAAACCGAAGGTTCAAAACAGAGAGCTTTTGAAAGAAAAGAGTCTGTAGTTTTTAACGAAAGAAGAGAG